TCAACTTCAACTCGACCGCATCGTTTATTGGACACCTCGCCTTTGAAAGGATGCGTCCCGCCCTCGTTCGTCACTCCATGGGGAATCTTATTCCCCCCAAAATTGCTACTCCTAATGCTCTTGTAAGTCCAAGGTATTGAGTCATGAATGCCCGCCGGCTTGCTGACGACAATTTGCACAAAATCATATGAAAATTGCCTGCTGCTCAACAACAACGAATTATATCTCTTTTGCAATATTATTTACCCGGCCGTTCAAATTTACGAATTATTACTACCCGTCTCGCCTTTTTCCGATGATGATAACGGTGCAACCTCGAACCTCTCACAAAATTCACCTTATCTCTTCCAAACTGCCATTGGTTCATCTGTGGGATTTATTTTGAATTATAAAGTCCTCTGGTGGAGGTGCTTCGCTCACCCCCTTGGTCGAATTCTACTCCAAGTTGCCCAAGGGCCCCAACCCTGTTACCTCTGGATGGGGACTCAAAGGTATGCTCTTTAGCAACTCCAGAGGTCAATAAACTGGTCTCATTGTCGATTCAGCTCGCTACTTTAATGGGAAGAATGCCAACGGTACTCCCGTCGTCTTGTTGATTAGTGGTCTCTTCTTGACAGGTTATACAATTGCTTATCAAAGTGAGTAACAAGTCATCATCTCGCCTTGCGTGTTTCTGTTCCTGCTATGCGAGTTGTTGACATTTCTGACTTCGAATGAATAGCCCACCTCAAGCATCACAAGAACCACCACCATTAGAGCATGACCTATTTCTAACTATTATGTGATTAGATAACAACATACTCTTGTCTCCACGTTACATTGCCTATGAAGATCTATGATTATGCAAGCCACTCAAGACTGTAAGCCGCTTTGAATTGATATGAACCAACCCGATCTATAAATGGCTGCTGAAATGGATGTTCTGCAAGATGATGGGATTAATACCGTAATTTCCCATCGTGCACTATCTCCACTTGATTGAGTTGTAGACTTTTCGACGCGACGATGAGAGACTCTGAGTAGAAGTCGGTTTTAGCCGGCCCGACGCGTTTCCAAATTCTTGTTCATCCAGGATTGAAAAAGTCGACTAACTCTTCCAACGATATGAAACAGTATTTCCGAACTTAGAGAATACTAGAGTTAGCCCGATCCGTGTGGCAATAAGCCAGCCACAATCTGATCGATCCCCACTCCATCGAGCAAAAAGTTGAACGGACCCATTCCCCTCCAATTAACCATTAACCTTCTTCTTTAAGACTCAAAAAGGGACTAGTACCAATGTCTCGTCGTCAAATCTCAAGCTCCAACCGCCGCCAAGGCTCAAACTCCAACAACCTCAGGTAACGTATTCTCTAGTTCTACCCTTTCTCTCGCTGTCATAATTGGCATCTTATTATCGAATATGATAGATCTACTCTTCGAAGCTTGTATACTGAAGCAGAGCTCTCTCTCGGCGACGCCCTCGCACGCGGAGACATAAGGACAGCAAAGAGTTTTATCAAGCCGGCATTAGGCAACGAAGATCCTGAACAGATTGAGAGGCTCCTTTCTCTCTCCAATCCTCGTAGTCCATCGAATTCTTCAGGATACCGGTTGACCAACGAGCAGCGCCTAGAATTTTTGCAGCAGTTGGATGTCGATGCGTCCGAGATGATGAAGATAGTGTTGGATGACCCCAATTGTTTTGCGCCAAATGTAAACTCACTGGCCTTTGGAAACTTCTGGGGTATCCTAGAGACGCGGCCATTCATACGAGCGCTCATAACACTAGCGACTCTCTGCGAAGATATGGAAAAGTACGAGCTAGCCTACGATTACGACCTCCGACTTTTGACGTATAACTCGGGCGATAATAATGGGGTACGAACTAATTTCAATCTTTTGCAGACCTTGCTCGGACGCGACCTTGAAGCCTACAACTTTTCCTGGCATCTTCTAGATCAACATCTGGACTATAGTCGCATCGCCGCAGAGAAGGAGGGAAAAGACTATCCAAAGGTCGTTTTCGACAAGTTCAAGAAAGAGGACATTGATCCTCAGGATCCTGTGATTCATGGACCTACCAGCGAGCTCAAATATGCCGATGCGGCTGTTCTCTATACGGGAGCCCTTGCGCTTTTCAAGATATTTGGACATTGCCCAAAGGCAACTTCGTGGCTTGCAGCCGGTCACAGCCGAAATCCCCATATTCTTCCTGTGCTTTTGCACCCCAATGCCGCGTCCTATCCCAAAGAACGGATGCTTATTCCACGTTCAATGGGATCTTACGTAGAGGCAACTGACTTTATCATGTTTACCAAAAAGCAGTTTTGTACCCGACCGGTACAAGTTTGGCTCAGGCTTGCTGGCAGTGAGCTGCCGAAACGCAAGTGCGACTCTCCAAAATGTGAAAAAGTCGAAAAGTTCATCGGGGAGTGGAAGAGATGCACGGCGTGTTACGAAGCATACTATTGCAGTGGCGAATGTCAGAAAGAGCATTGGAAGCTGCCTGGGGATCAGGGTCATAAGCAAAAATGCAAGGAAACCACGATGCTCAGAACTATGTATACTTAGGTATACTCTATTTCTCTTAGAGGTCCCTGGCGATTAACTCACTTTGGTCCGTTCCGCAGGCTCTCAACATCTGGGAGAAGTGTCCATCGACAAGGTGAGCTGACGAATTTCTTTATCTACTCTGAGCTTATCGTAACATAGGATAGAAAGTACAATACTGTTGAACTCATAACTTGTATCATATCATACGCCTTCTCCGAACTTGAGAGGGTCGAGTGTATCCGTCGTCGAGCAATCATGTACCATAACTAGCGACTTGACCCG